ATGAGCACTATCAAGTGTTCTGGGAATCACATTCTTCTCAAGGTTAGCCACAATCTGTTGTGAGCCACACAGTCAAATGTCTTTGCATAGTCAATGAAACACAGATCCATAGCAAGACTAAAGAACAACTGAACAAAACAAGAGAACAACGCATGGTAAAATATAAATATTGGATCCCTTTAAAAAAAAAAAAACCCACTGCAAATTCTAGAATAATGGCTTTTCTCCAAAACCATACTACTACAGGGTACTGCCATCTGTTAGAGTGACTGTGAGTGCCAATTAAATCCTCCTGAAGATCCTCAACATTTGAATGAGTCGCTTTTAAAAAGTCTTGAATGAAGTTCAGTCAGAAGTAGAATGTCTCTTGGATCCCTCAGGTTTTAATCTGAAAACGCAGTCTGTTTCTACTCCCTGAAGTTAAGGAAACAAAATACTCAAATATCTTGGAATGTAGAGCATTCATCTTTCACTTTGCTTATTAGAAAATAGAGAACTGGGGATACAGTTGGGGAGAGTACAACGTGAATAAATGTGGCGTTTCAAAAGTGGAGAAATATCACCATCTTGTGGTAAGGTACGGTAGCAAAATAGCTTTGCATGGACCGAGATTTGCAGCTTAAGGAGCTGCTATCTTTTAACCGCAAATTTCTCTAGTGCCCGTGGGTTCATGCCCCGCCTTTCCCGGTGGTTCTAACCACTCGGCGCGTCGGAAGCAACGTGATTGACTAGGCAGCAGCCTGGCTCCCTTATGAAACGCATGACTCCGGAAACAGTGAGCCGACTTTTCCGGAAGCGCGGGGGCCGCCCTCTCCCAGCATCCTTTGCCTTCCGGCTGTGCTTAGTCCGGTTCGTCCAGTCCTTCTTTGCGCGCTTATTTCGAGCCCGAATTTCAAACTTGAGTTTAGAGGCCTGGGAAGCGGGCGCAAGGCTTTTGGGCTGTGGCTATGGGGGCAGGGATGGCGCAGCTGGAGGGTTACTACTTCTCAGCTGCGCTGAGCTGTACCTTTTTAGTGTCTTGTCTCCTCTTCTCCGCCTTCAGCCGGGCTCTGCGGGAGCCCTACATGGATGAAATCTTCCACCTGCCTCAGGCGCAGCGCTACTGTGAGGGCCACTTCTCCCTCTCGCAGGTGGGATCCCCAGCCTGGTCCACCCGGGGCATGCCAGAGAGGGCCGATCTGTCTCTTGCGTAGTCTTCCATCCTTATCCGTAGCTCGCCCCGCCCTGGTAATCTGTTCCAGTCTCGGGGTCCTATGCACTGTTTGTTAAATGAATGAACAGACAACATGTTTCCCGCTAAGAAATGGTCAAAGAGAATAACAAATGGGAAACTGAGTCACGGACCTTGATAACTCAGGACATCTATCCCAGCTTTTCTCCACCGATCCCGGGATTAGAAGCATTGGGCTATTTTAGCATGTATCAGAAAAATTTCCTGTGATTCATCTGTTAAATGTATTCTTGGGTTTGAGTGAGTTATGGTGGGGGAAATCTTCGGCGGCAGAGAAATGAGAGGTTTTCACATTCTATTCCTATTTGTTTTTAGGAACTCTTTTATATGCTGCCAGTCTGTCATATGACATCTTTTAAAATACAGTTGCAAAGTGTTTTCGGCTGAGCACACACAGTATGGAGTGTATCCATAAAAATATAGGAGACGTATTTATCTTCTTCTAGTGAAACAGCATATTATAATGGTTAGAAATAGGAAGTGTAATTTTAAATTTACTACTATTTTTTAGGGATACGATCTGATAGAATTTCTGAGTATAGGTTATTAATGTATAGAATGACGGTATCTACAAATAGTATCTAAGTGGCATTGTTGCATGGCTAGATATAAAGCCTTAGTTCCCGGCCCAGTGCTTTCAGCCTGTGATCAGCACCTCTTTCCAAGACCTGTCTGTTCTAACCAATGTGTCAGTGCTAGAAAAACTGCAATATTTACACTTTGTCATGAAATACAGAGTCCAGAGAGTAGATCTTGAAAGTGCAAACCGATTTCCCACTAGTTACTGACATACATTATTAATTTTGGGGGAAGGGTAATTTTTTTGTCCAAACACTGTAGTTTTCAGTGCGTGCTGTGTACGTTGTATTCTTGTGAATACTGTGTAAAGTTCGGTACCTCTTGCTTTCATTTCACTGTGCTTTCATTTTAAAGTGGGATCCCATGATTACTACATTGCCTGGCTTGTACTTGGTGTCAGTTGGAGTAGTCAAACCAGCCCATTGGATCTTTGGATGGTCTGAACATGTAGTCTGCTCCATTGGAATGCTCAGATTTGTTAATCTTCTCTTCAGTGTTGGCAACTTCTATTTACTATATTTGCTGTTCCGCAAGGTACAACCCAGGAACAAGGTATGTTTCCAGAATAATCTATTACAAATTTATGTACACTCAGGACCATATGAGGAGGAATTGATTTTAGTAAGATTTGGTGAAAAATAGCCTTTTAGTGTTTGTTTATATTTTATAATGGTAAAGCGAGTGCCTCCCACACCCAGTTTAGAAGAAATTTGTACTTATATACTTTAAGAACTGTTATTTGTAAGTATTTGTTAGTGAATTAAATGAAGTCAGTATATGCTTATTTGGTTTAATTGCATGATAAACACTAGAGTCTATAGAGATAAAGCCTAGATTCTTCCATGTGGCCCGTATGTCTTAGCTGGGAGTAGTATTGGTTAAGGCTTCATAGAAAAGATGGCAGTTGAGATGAATTTTGCTGAATGTATAGGACTCTCTAGGGTGGTATAGGAGTCATGGCAGTAGAAATAGCATAAATAGGTACAAAAACATTGAGCAAGAAGACACAGAGAATTGCTGATTGAAATTGGAGGATTCATAAAGTTTAGGTAAGTCTAACTGGGCGGGTAGGTAGGGTCAATATCATGAATATCTTTATTTGTTGTAGTGAGGACTTTGGGTTTCATTGTATAGGTGAAAAAGTTTTAACCAAGTAAATTAAGTGGAGGGTACAGTTCAAAGCACAACAGCTATAGTGTGAGGGACAAGGAATACTTGAAGATTCTGAAGTAGTTTGTCAGAAGGCTAAAAAAGATACTTAGCTTTAGAATGGACTCACTATTGAGCTTAAAAGTAGAAATCTTGTATCTTTTCTCTAATGAGTGATTTTGCAGATATTTTCTTTAGTGAAATTGATGGTAGTGGTTAACACGTTGCCGCACACTTTTAAATTGGTGACCGTGCTTAGAAACACATTTTGCCATCCTTTGCGGCAGTGTGTTAAGTGAATGCTTATTAAGCTCAAAGGAATGCAACTTCCTTGGCTTTTTCCTCTTCACCTCCACCTTCATATTTCCTCTGAAGCTTGGTTCAGTGCCTTCCACAGAATGATCCCTTAATTAAATTATTTACTTAATGATTCAGTGTATTTTAGGCTGTAGAGGCCTTGGTCTATGTGTATATAGCTACAGTGCCTTTTAAACAGAGATGTAATTAAAATTATACCAAGAAGTCTTCTTATAAATGCATAGTGGTATTTTTTCAAAGCCAGAAATCAGATTGCTATTGATATTTTTTTAAATAAGAAAGTCATCATTTTTAAAGAATCTTTTCACTACCTCAACAGAAATAACATGCTTAATGTATCATGAAAATTATTTTAACTATGTGGGCTTTGTTTGTTTCCCTGCTTTTTAGGCTGCCTCGAGTATCCAGAGAATTTTGTCAACATTAACACTAGCAGTATTTCCCACGCTCTATTTTTTTAATTTCCTTTATTACACAGAAGCAGGATCGATGTTCTTTACGCTTTTCGCCTATTTAATGTGTCTCTATGGGAATCATAAAACTTCAGCCATGCTTGGATTTTGTGGCTTCATGTTTCGTCAGACAAATATCATCTGGGCAGTCTTCTGTGCGGGAAACCTCATTGCACAAAAGCTAACTGAAGCTTGGAAAACTGAACTACAGAAGAAGAAGGAAGAGAGGCTTCCAGCCATCAAAGGACCATTTTCAGAATTTAGGAAAATTCTGCAGTTTCTTTTGGCTTATTCTATGTCCTTTAAGAACTTGAGTATGCTTGTCCTTCTGACATGGCCCTATATCCTTCTAGTATTTGTGTTTTGTGCTTTCGTTGTGGTTAATGGTGGGATTGTTATTGGTGATCGGAGTAGTCATGAAGCTTGTCTACATTTCCCTCAGCTATTCTACTTTTTCTCTTTTACTCTCTTCTTTTCCTTTCCCCACTTACTATTTCCTAGCAAAATTAAGACTTTTCTCTGCTTAATTTGGAAACGTAGAATTCTGTTTTTTGTGATTGCTTTAGTCTCTTTATTTTTAGTTTGGAAATTCACTTATGTTCATAAGTATTTACTAGCAGACAATAGACATTATACATTCTATGTGTGGAAGAGAGTTTTTCAGAAATATGAGATAATGAAATATTTGTTAGTGCCAGTCTATATATTTGCTGGGTGGAGTATAGCTGACTCATTAAAATCAAAATCAGTTTTCTGGAATTTAATGTTTTTCATATGTGTATTTATGGTTACAGTTCCTCAGAAATTGCTGGAATTTCGATACTTTATTTTACCTTATATTTTTTATAGGCTTAACATACCTTTGCCGTCCACATCCAGACTAGTTTGTGAATTGAGTTGCTATACAGCTGTTAATTTTCTGACTTTTTATATTTTTCTGAACAAGACTTTTCATTGGCCAGATAGTCAAGACATTCAGAGATTTATGTGGTAATATCAGGGATATTTTTAATTCTAAAGTCAGACTTAATATTTTTATTTTTTTCACCGTGAACAGGTAGAAATTGATAGATTTCTTTAATGTACAATGGTGGTCCGCAGATCACATTTTTACATATGTTGTAAGCATAATAAATCCAAAATACTTAAGTAGCAAAGAACTGGGGAGAGTTTAAGATTTACTCAGAAAAGCCTAAATAATAATAATGGGGAAAATAAAATTGTTTACAACTATCTCATGATGTTTTTCAGCTATTGCTGATTGCTAGAAAACTTGGAAACTTTTAATATATGCACAATTTTGAGAAAACTGAGTATGCTTCACAGTACTCCAACTTATTCTTTCTAGAAAGCAGTAGCAGACAAAATATATAAAAAATATTTAGAAATGATCAAGTAGAATTCATGATTGAAACATTGCTTAACATTCAGTAAACATGTGCAGAGATTTTGTTTAATATCATGTCTCAGGTGACAGTTTACATAATTGGGTTCCTGTTTAACAATTTTTATACAGATTTTTCTGTGACATTGGTTACATTTTCCCTGTGTGTCAACATTTTCATTATTTTTATTCTTTTTGTTCTGACTCCATCAATCTGGCTCCCATGCTGCTTTTTACCTTGTCAGCTTTGGTTTAAGTTAATATTTACTATTTGGTCTCTTATAGTTGATTATTTAAGGAAACAGTGTTCAAAGGCGATATTGTTTATTTTATAAGCCTCTCAATTTGGATGAAGAGTGACCTCTGAAAGTGGCTCCAATCTAAATTCAAAGAGTATCTCAGAGTGGTAGTATTGGGAGTAGTTATTTCTATTGGTTCTGTAAGTCTGGACTTTTTTTAAAAATTTTGTTCTATATTTTTCTGAATCTGTATAGTTGTAATAAAGACATTCACAGGAATAGTTAATGTTATACGTTCTGTAACATGTTTATTTGGAATCATGTTGGTTACTTCATGTTTATTTGGAATCATGTTGGTTACTTTTGGAAAGCTAGATATGATGAAACTCTTTCAAAAAGAAACTGTGTTAATAATGCTGAAATATATTACTGTGCAGATTACCTAGGGCTTTTGTAACAAATTAGGACAACAGATTTATTTTATGACAAGTCTGAGGGCCATAAGCTCAAAATTAACATCATAGTGGAGTTGATTCTTCCTCCATGCTCTAAGGAAGAAATCCGTATTTGTCTTCCTCCTAGCTTTAGGTGGCTGGTAACAATCATGGGCTTTCTTTGTTTTGTAGACATACTATTCTATTCTCTCCCTTTGTTTCACATGACCTTTTCTTTGGGTTTCTGTGTCCATCTGCTGTTTCTTAAAAGGACACTGTCATGGGATATAGGACCTGTGATAATCCAGTATGATCTAATATTAAGATTCTTAATTAAGTTGGCAAAGACCCATGAGTCCATACTCAAGATCCCAAATAGAAATACCTTTCTGTGGGACACTTTCAACCCAGTACAGTTACCAAAGGAGAGTTTAAGATAAACCTAAAATTTGTAAGGAGGTAGTTCTTTGCTGAAATCTTTGAAATGAAATTGCATGCTTACTGAGATATGTAAAAAGTGGCTTCTGAGAGCATATAAATTATAAAGCTTTAATTAACTGGTTTTGGTTTTGTGTTCTATTTGTTAAAAATTTAGAAATGGAAGAAATGTAGAAGTCCTCTAATGCAGATGTATTTTATGGGTTAGGGAACAACTGCTTGGCATTCTGTGTCTGTTGTTTTTAGTACATTTGTTGACTTGTCATTCTAGTACAGGAAAGTAGTATTTATACATGTTATCTTTGACATGTAAACTCAGAACTGTGAATGTAATTTTTAGTATACATTTCTAAACTTTTAAAAAGTAACTGTAATTGTAAACACATTACTTTATCTGTAATGTATTGTTTTTGGATTTTAAAGAATGAGTGGATATGGAAAATATCCTTCATTTGCAAATATAAAATTAAATACAAATGAAAAGTGCTAGTTAGAAGTAACAAATGGAGACTGTTATACTCTCTTCAGTGCTTAGAAAGTACATTAGTTGTTTGATTTATTAGTCTTAGTGATTATAGAATATATATTCTACTGATCCTTTAAAAAAATTAGACAAGAAAATACACATAATTCACTATACTTTTAGCATGAAAGCCTCAGTAAGTAATAAATTGAAAAACAAATAAGTAATTTAGGAAAAACCACTTTTCTTGTCTTATCCTATTAATGTCAGGCTTTTGTATTTATAAATGCTTCTAAGAAGAAACTTTTTTATCCTGACTGCTTATTAAGGAGTTAATGGTGCCAATCCAAAGGCAATTGAGACAGTTCAAATCTATCAGCTGCTCCCAGGGACAGTCTCCTCCCATGCTAGCTACAACATCTGAAAAAACCTGCAGGAGGGCCAGCTATGAGTCTTATGACTCAGTGGCAATGAGTTTGAGTGTGATGACAGTGAGGAAACCATTCTACCTCGTATAATGAAAAAGATGGCTTTCGAGGGGAGAGGACTGTTCCATTTAATTTTTAAGTAGCAAATCTCAAAGATTTTTGGAGAAAATCTTAATTCAAAGCAAAGCATGTTAATCTTGCAAGTTTTCTATGATGTACATAAAATACAGTGTTAGGCATTTTAGAAAAGAATGTCATGATAAAAGGTGCTATTTATTTTTAATTGATTGTTATTTTAAAATAGGGATTTTTTTCCCCCTGTATTTCCGAGATGAGATAAGATAAATGTTATGGTTAAATTTTCTTAGGCATAACGAAACTAATAATTTGCTGATGAAATTTAAAAGAATCGAATAGGCAAAATGATTATGTAAGTGATTGGCTGAAGTATCTTATTATACCAGATCATTTTTACTTTAGTTCTAAACCCTATACAAACGCATTTTCCATGGATAATACAGTATTCTTGAATTTAAACATAGCATGGCACTTTGGAAAGAAAAATTATTTTAGCCACCTGGCCTTTTCCTTCTCAAAGTTATTTCTAGAATGTACTTCATCTGTCATATTTTGATAGAAATACTTTTAATAGCTTATCAATATTTCTGATTTGTATTTAACCACCAGTTCGCTCAACATTTTCATTATAATTGTGTGAAAAGAAGCAATCATCAGTTTTTATGTATACATCCTCAGTAATAGACTGAGTTTTTATCTCACTTTTAACTAAAAAATGTATTCATTTATATGAGGGAATAAAGTCTTGTCTAGGCTCTATAGTATTATCATTGAAACATTTATGATTTTATTGAAAATGAAAAAGGTGTCATTCAGACATGCAGTTTAAATATGACTTAAAAACTATGGGCTTGTAGGAAAAGAATTGAACCTTGGCAGTTAGGATAAGGAGTTGCACTGCCAACTCAAAGGTATGTTATTCTAATTCACCAGCTTCTCACAGGAGAAAGATGGACAGTCTCTCCCCCACTCGACCCCCACCCTCCCATACAATTTACTGCCCCTAAAAACCACTGGGACTTAATTCTGACTTAATGGCACATAATAATAGCTAATATCAATAAGATTTTTGTTCTTATCTTTGATGAAAGTATGTTTGTTCTAAGTAGTCAGTGCCTATCACAGATCTAAACATTTTTCAGAAAAGACCCAGCCCTTGCCCTATACTCATAAAAATTATGCGTATGTTATATAGTAAATACAGAGTAAAGTGTACTGAATGAAGTTTTTAGTATACAGTGAAAATATAAAATACTATGTAGCCACAAAGGAGCTTTGGAGGCATAGTGTGGAACAAGTTGAGCTGTTAACCAAGAAGTTAGTGGTTCAAATACACTAGCTGCTCTGAGTGAGAAGGGTGTTCAAGATTTCTTCTATGAATCCTCAGAAACCTGATGGAAGGTCATCATGAGTTGGACTCAACTCAGTGGCAGTTGTGTTATCTAACCATAAATTAATTTTAGCATATATATCACAAGTTTTAAAATGAGTGTCATCATTATTTTTTTCTACCTGAATCTTACCATGGTGATTGATATACTTGCATTGTCAATATGTTCCATGCTGTTTTTATAATAGCATATGATTTCAAAATTGTTTCTTTGAAGGAGGAAATAATTTTCAGTCATTAAATCATCATAATAGAGTGTTTGATGGTCATAACTTTAAAAGAAATGTTAACAAACTTTGTATCATTTCAGCTATGCAGAATTATGCTATAGAAATAAATTATCTCTTATGTTAGCAGTAAGATAAATATTTTTAATCAAATATAATTTATGAAGTTGAGAAAAGTATAGAAAAAGTAAATAGAGTGAGGGCATAATTTCAGTACATATCAATGAATCTAACATTCTTTAAGATTTGGAATGAATTCTAGAGTAGGAAATAGTACTTTTTTCCCAAGTGAAACTTGATGGATTAACTGTTAATTTGACTATGACCGTCAGGCCAAAAGAACATACAATATTTTCCAAAAGAGAAAAATATAAAACTGTGTTTGATATTTCCCACCCTCCTCCCAAGAAATTTCAGTTGATTCTGTTCCATTGAGCTACATATGTTTTGGTATAGTACACGTAAGATGAGGAAATAAGGAATGAAAACAGAAGAACAAATAGTTGTTTCTCTTTCTTAAGTCCCTACTGTGTTCTAGACTGACTGGTTTACAAAGGTCTTGTTTGATCCTACTCACATTTCTCTGAGGTAAATACTGTTTTCTGTTTCACTATTGAAACAAAATCTCATGCAAATTTGATAACTTGCTCAAGATGCCCATTGTCATAAAATGCACTTAAGTCGATCTGACTTCCAAGACTCTTGATTTTTTATTCTGCTGCTCTGTCTTTACTATAAAAATTTTAATTATTAGAAGTAAAATATGGAGAGAAAAGTGATAATTTGTCTTGACTGTGTCAGCCAGACCACTCATGGCATATATCTTTTTAAAAAAAAAAAATTTTGAGGCAGTAATTTTTAGAACTACTAGAAATTATAAAGTCACATGAACAAGATAATGTTTATAGTTTTGGATGAAAAAGATTAAATGGATATTGATTTTTTTTAACAGAACCTATGACTTGATATAATCTCAATTTTGAAGTTTTCAGGGAAGGATTGTGCTTCTTCTGTATTGGCTAAAGTTACATCAAGGAAAGTTAAGACTACGATTTATAAAAATCGTATAGTTCTAGTTGTTAATATTACTTTTGTC